CAGAATACCAGGAAGTATGATGTGAAACATTCTCTCCTAGAAATGGCTGCATAAACAAGACCAGAACAATGAATATGTTGGTATGAATGTGGGAAATATTGTGAGTCCCATCCCTAGAAGAAGAATTAGGCTCAGGGCTGGAGTGATGGTTCAGAGGTGAAGAGCACCAACTGCTCCTCCAGAGGTTCTGAGTTCAAATCCCAGCACCTGCAAGGTGGCTCATAACCATCTGTAATGAGATCTGTCACCCTCTTCTGTATACATAATAAACAAATGAATCTTAAAAAAAAGAATTAGGCTCTATTAGAGATGAGCGCCCTAACTGATCATCCAACACCAAGTGGTCAGCCCTTCTGATGGCTATTCCTGGTTGTCAATTTGTCTACACGTGGAGTTAACTAAAACCCAAGAGATAAGTATAGCAATTACCCTGAATCTTGAGGAACAAAACTAAATGAATATGGGCATACATACAGAGAGAGACAGAGAGAGAGAGAGAGAGAGAGAGAGAGAGAGAGAGAGAGAGAGAGGGAGAGACAGAGAGGCAGAGAGACAGACCTGATTTTGTTCAGTCTATAAGGCTGGATGTATCAGCTGGTCTTCAGTCTCCTTTGGAATCCCCCCAAAATATTGGTTTTATACCAGAGAAGGGATGAACTTGCCAGTGAGAGTGAGAGCAAGAAGACAAAGAGCAAAGATTAGAGCATTTTCTTCTTCCATGTCCTTTTACATAGACTGCCGCCAGCTAAGATTTAAGGTGGAGTCTCACACCTTAAAAACATCTGGGTTTAGGTGAGGATTCCCACTTCAAATGATTCAATCAAGAAATTCTCTCCCACTCATGTCCAGGTTGTTCATGTAGATCTCAGCCAATTCTCCATCATTGGGCGATCCTCGTGTCATTCTTGGGGTCCTGTTTTCCAGGTAGCCTCCCTGGTGTTGTGAGTAGTAGTCCAGTCATCCTTGTTCCACCTCTAGTATCCTCCTATGAGTGAGCACATACCATGTTTGTCTTTCTGAGTCTGGGTTACCTCACTCAGGATGATTTTTTCTAGATCCATCCATTTGCCTGCAAACCTCAGGATGTCATTGTTTTTCTCTGCTGAGTAGTATTCCATTGTGTATATGTGCCACAATTTATTTATCCATTCTTCAGTTGAAGGGCATCTAGGTTGTTTCCAGGTTTTGGCTTTTACAAACAATGCTGATATGAACATAGCTGAGCAAGTGCTCTTGTGGTATGATTGACCGAGGGTCAAGGGAAAGACAGCCTGTGGGAGCGTGAGATCCCAGCTGGATCAAGAACAGAGAGGGATAACAAGGAATAGGAGACCATGGTAAATGAAGACCACATGAGAAAAGGAAGAAACAAAGTGCTAGAGAGGCCCACAGAAATCCACAAAGATACCCCCACAATAAACTGATGGCAGTGGTCGAGAGACAGCCGGAACTGACCTACTCTGGTGATGGGATGGCCAAACGCCCTAATAGTCATGCCAGAAACCCCATCCAAGGACTGAGGAATTTGGATACAGAGATCCACAGTCAGTCCCCAGGTGAAGCTCCAGGAGTCCAACTGGTGAGAAAGAGGAGGGTTTGTATGAGCGAGAATTGTTGAGACCAAGGTTGGAAAAAGCACAGGGACAAATACACAAAGGAAAGGACACACATGAACTATGAACCAATAGCTGAGGAGCCCCCAACTGGATCAGGCCCTCAGATAAATAAGACAGTTGATTAGCTTGATCTGCTTGGGAGGCATCCAGACAGTGGGACCAGGTCCTGTCCTCAGTACATGAACTGGCAGTTTGGAATCTGGGGCTTATACAGGGACACTTGGCTCAGCCTGGGAGGAGGGGACTGGACCTGCCTGAACTGAATCTACCAGGTTGAACTCAATCCTCAGGGGAGTCTCTGCCCTGGAGGACATGGGAATGGGGTATGGGCTGGGGGTAAGGTGGAGTTTGGGGCAGGGGAGTGTGGGGGTGGGAGGGGGAGAACAAGGGAATCCGTGGCTGATATGTAAAATTAAATTTAATAAATAAATTTAAAAATGAAAAAAAAAAGAAAAGAAAATTCTCTCACAAAAAAATTGAGACTCTTGGGTTTAGTCAATCAAATATATTTTTCTTTGTTTTTGTTTTTTTCGAGACCTAACTTCTCTGTATATCTTTGGAGAACATCTTTGAAAACACTTTGTAGACCAGGCTTGCCTCTAACTTACAGAGATGTGCCTGCCTCTACCTCCAGAATGCTAGGATTGAAGGTATGTGTCACCATTGCCTGGCTTGCCCATGTATTTATAAAAAAAAGAAAAAAGAAAAGAAAAGACAGTTGAGTGGGTAGAGAAAGGAATAAATCTCAAAAAAATTGCAGTTGAGGTGAATATGGTAAAAATGAGTTGAACAAAATTCTAAAGAATTATTGAGACATTTTTAATGTTGATATTTGCTAAAATCACAGATTGATATCATTAACTGTGAAATTACAAAAGGAAAATCAAAAATATAAGCCCATCATTTAGAAACAGTGAAATATTGTAGCAAAATTTCTATTTTTTTTTTAGAAAAGTTCTCACTGTATATCCAAGGAAGGCATTGAAATAAAACTCCTCCTGCTTCAGCAGCCAAATCCCTAAGACTCTAGGATTAAAGGTGTGAGCTACCACACCCAGCTAAGCAGGAACTCGGGAAACCTTGTTGTGGAGTTTTGATTGTGGATAATGGACAAAGAGTTAATTCAATCTTCCATCCATTTAGACTACTGCTATTTACAGGAGCTCACCTACAGCAAGCATTAGTAAAAGCAACATGGGAGGAAGTGGGTGTGGTCTTTAGAGAGTATATAAGGACAGTCCAGGGGCCAGCCAGGTTCATTCTTCTCTAGATCAGACAGAATGAGTCTCCATATCTTCTGGCTCCTAGATGCTAGATCTGTCTCCTCCACTCATTGAGGATCATACCCCAGAGCTGAGCTAATATTGCTGTGTCTCAACTAAACACTGCTGAGCCATAGATTATTTCTTGGGTGGATACACAGTTTATGGTGGAAAGAGGTTGAAATTTCCTATTTTTAATTTATTACCAAACTGAGGTTTCTGCTTAAAAATGCTTAAAATTTGGCTATTTATCAAAAGAGATTCTACTACCATTTTGTCATCTTTCTTTGTAAATATACTGTGAGTTACAGCTACAGATAATTTTAGTTTATTCATTCACAGTCTCTCTCTGAATAGATTGATGATTTACTAGTTTGGAAGTATACATGTGATTAAATCAGAGAAAACTAGTCACACTATCCTATTCAGGAAAGTAGATTCTGTTTATAATATGGTATAGTTTTTTAATTCTGTGTTAAGTTTTCATTATTTCTGTGAACTCATAAATTATTTTGGAATGAAGTATCTAATGTACAGAAAAATAGCAAATGAGGGCCATCAGATAAGTTAAGAAAGTTAGCATTGGAGGCTCCATCACTTTTCTAAAATAATCTTGACAATGAGTAATAGTATTGTTTTCCAGGTAAATAGGGTCACCAGCTAAAGCCATTGACTCCATTTGCTTCAGACCCCAGAAACTTAAGTTATTTGGGGAATGTTTATCTCAGTCAAATCAAGATTCTTTATTTGTGTAGATGTTCATAGAGAAGGGCAATGAGCACCTGTTGATTAAATATAGTCATGAGAGCTTCCTTTATGCCTCAGGTTCATCCCATAAACTGAAGCTAGGAACTTTATCTTTGGTAAACAAACAAATTTCCACAGAGAGTACTCTAGAATTCAACTCGATAGGATTTAGGGAAGACATGGAAACCTCTGGGGGTGTCTGTAGAGGATTATTTGGAGGAGAATGACTACACTTGGAAACATTCACACTAAATGATTATGAGATCACTTGATCATTCCATGGGTTAAGTTCTCAAACTGAGGATAAAAGGGAACAGGAGCTGAGCAGAAAGTGTTCCTTGCTTTCTGCTTGCTGATTTTGGATGCAATGTTACCAGTTATCTCAAACTCCTGCTGCCATTTTTTCTTCACCATGATAATCAATATCCTTGAATTATGAGCCACCATAATTCTTATTCTCTTTAGGTATTCCCAGCAGAAAGAAGACAAGTAACTACTATTGCCTTCAAGAGTCAAGGGGCCGAACAGTAGGATGTGAATGACTAAGATGCTAAAATCAGAAACCAAGCAAAGCATTTAATAGGGACCATGTTGTGGGAGCCCGTTTTCAGGTTCCTTGTGGCTTTACCCAGAAGGTCCACATAGAGGATGATTAGGACCATGGGCTTGAGTGCATGTGTCTGAGATGGTCTGCACTTGGCTGTGCTGGGGGGGGTCTTTTGCTCCACCCCTTGGCATCTCTATAAATACCCTGGGGCAGAGACAATCGGGCCCATTGCAAAAGGTTCCAGGCCTTCCTTTATTTTCCTCCAGGCTATCCTTTATTTTCTGTTTATCTCCACAAGATTCTCTGCAAAAAATCCTTCTGTCTAATATTTCCTGCTGCTCACACTCAAGAAAACTCTGGGGAGCTTTGCAGTTGGTGGGTAAATGCCCCACACCATGTGAAGTAGGGAGTGTTTTCTTGGATAGAAAACAAAGAAGGATGTATTTGATATACCTCTGTCTGTAGTGAAAGGCCAAGATGTGGACATGAAGGAGTCTGATCACTCCACAGTGTATATTTTTTTTCCATAAGCACTGGGGAAGCCTGTCTCAGTCCAAGCACCAAGGTTCTAATTTGAATGAAGTCTCCAAAGAAGATGCAGGTGGTAGGAATCAGAAGTCCATCAGATCAATGTGTACTTCTGTTAAGAAGGGTGAAACAGGAAAGATCACAAACTGAAATTCTATACATATCTTGATTTTTGGTCACCAAAAAATAAAGAATATTTTGCAATATACAGATTGAATCACAACTTGAAGGAAATTTTGGGCAGTGTCTAGCTTCTATGGGGTCCAATAATAATAATTCTGCTTTTCTTCTTTTAGAGAAATGGAGTCAGACATCTCACAAGCCTTCCAGAAAGAACTCACGTGCTTCATCTGCCTGAGCTGCCTGACAGACCCAGTCACCATAAGCTGTGGCCACAGCTTCTGTCGAGCCTGCCTCCACTTTTCCAGGGAAGACATCCAACTTCCTGTCCAATGCCTTATGTGTAGGGAACCATTACAGAAGGACTTGAGAACCAACATTTTTCTGAAGAAACTGGTGTCCATTGTCAGAAAAGCCAGCCTCATGAAGGACCTGAGCTCTGAGGAGCATAAGTGTGTGACCCACGAGGATACTAAGAGGATCTTCTGTGCTGAGAACAGGATCTTCCTCTGTCCACTCTGTTCTAACTCCCATGAGCACAGAGGACACAGACACTGTCCCATTGAAGTAGCTGCTGAGAGTCAAATGGTAAGTGATGCTTCTGAGAGAACTTGGAAGCTGGAGAGAGGTAGGCTTAGGATACCACAGGAATATGCTGGTCCTCATTATGACAAAGCCACTGTTTTCAGAATGGTGGCACTCTATTAACATCTAATGAAGTAAAGGTGACTATAAGTTTAAGCATCCCTTGGAAGACCCATGAGTGAAAAGATCATTTGTATTTATGATACATTATGCCCAGGTCACTGGAAATTGCAATACTAAATTCATATCTTTTAAAAGTGTCTATGACTGGAGACTAAATTAGAAAATGTACATTGGACTCAACTAGAGAGAAGCATCTGGGAATCACAGTTTTATACAAATTACCCAGACATTAGCCATGATTATTATTGACTATACCAGAACAAAGGGACAGGCTATATTTTCTATTTCTGTGTTCCGAAATCTAAAATTCATTGTTACCAAAAGTAAGAAAAGAAAGAATATTGTGATCCTTCTACTCCTACTAAAGTAATTGTATTTAGTGTCCAAGATCTGTCCATCAGTACTATTTATCAAAAGTTGATATTTATTGTTTTTTACAGGAAAGAATTGTAAAGCAAATGGCATTTTTATGGGAGAAGATCCAAGAAAATCAAGAGAATTTAGAGGCAGAGAACAGAATGACAACTCTGTGGATGGTGAGTATGAGAACCATGATTAAAATTTCGTCTAAGCAGATATTTTTCAAAATTTGTCATTCAAGATTTGAATATAAGGCATGGGATATGATGCTTGGAAAATATGTTGCTGGCCTCTAATTCTGTGTGTATAATATATCTCTGCTCATGGAAAGAATGGTCTAGCTGTGGCAGAAGAGTCTGGGGAATAATGAGTAAATTGCTGACAGTTGAGCACACTGCATTAGACTACACCATGAATTCTAATTACTACATGTAGAGTTTCATATCTTTTTGAACTTATGAATTATGAATAAATACCTTTTCTTCAGGCTCCTTTGCATCTCTAAGATGGGTGAACATGCTTAGTGTCTGTTTCCTTGTATATTTAATAAAGAAGAAATAAATGAAACCAAGGAATTTACATTTTCTGAAAAATGGAGACAGTCAACCAGAGTCTCTGTAGCAGAATTCTAGAAGTCATTTGTGAAATGTAAGCATAGGAGGATGCAACGGAGGCGGTCAAAACCACTTTGCAAATATGGTTGAGAATGTCCTTTTTGTACAGGACTACCTGACTCTACGGGAACAAATGATCAGGACATAGTGTACAAAACTGCACCCACTCCTCTGTGAAGAGGAAGTGCAACACATCAAGTCTATGTGAATTGAAAGCCAGTGTGTTTTAAAGAAACTCAGGACAAAGAAAGCCATGATGGTCCAAAACAGCAAACAACTAAGAGAAATGTATAGGGAGCTGATGGTAATTTCCCAGGAGCCATATGTGGTCCTGGTGCAGGTGAGTATGGAGGAATGCAGGAAGAGACTTTATTGTCTTAGGCCCCAGTTGGTGATGGTTATATTAAGATAGCTTTCAATATTTCCTGTATTTATATCAGGGCCGTTTCCTTTTCAGAAATATTTAATTTCAGTGGTTGCTGATTTTTTTTTTACCTCTTCATGGATATTGTGCACATTTTTTATTATTATTTTATAACACCATTCAGTTCAACATAATAGCCACAGATTCCTCTGTTCTCCCCCTCTCGCCACCCTCCCCCCAGCCCACCCCCCATTCCCACCTCCTCCAGATCAAGGTCTCCCCCGAGGACC